GCTTCCACATCTGCTTTGGTTGCCTCTGCTGGAATGTTTTCCGGTCCGGCTGATTTGCCGCTCTTGATTTGTTTGATGTTCAACGGTTTGCGTAAAAAAGAATCAGTCAGTGTGAGGATGGATATCACCGTAGAAAGATATTTCTTGAGGAACCTGAAAAGGAAGTTCGATTAGTGTTGGTTTTAGCTACCTGAGAGCGTGACCACTGCTTGAGGCCAGTCATGTACGGCCTTTTTATGGAAAGTTTGTAAATTGTTAACTCCACTCTTCAAAAAGGCCTTACCGCCGGAAATGTAAATCTATAGGGTTATCAGGTGTAAGGTGTGACATTTTTAGAATCGACCTTCCGTTTTGAGAATGTAGCATCACTGCAAATGCTGTGCCCCAGAAAAACACCTTAAAGCTTGTCACACTCCTCTACAGTTAGTAATAGTAGTACAACTCCTCCCTTAGACCTTAAGTTGCTGCTTTTGATGTTTTTGTTGTCGAATCGACTTGCCCGACCTAGTCGAACCTAAAAGAACCGATGTTGCAGACTAACAAAAAAGAAAAGAACTAAAACGGATGAAATCAACTTCTTTGGTTTAAATTGTCTGTGTTTTATTAAGATAAATGTTCTTAGTAGGATAGTGTTACGCACGCAACTTTATCACGTCAATTGATATGCTTGAAGTATTACGAGTTCACCTTAGTCGATAAATGAGAATGAGACAGTGACGCAGTGATACGATTGGCTACACTAATCCGAACGTCTCAAACCCTCATTGAGTAAAAGAAGAAGACTTGATATGAAGTAGAACGTGTATATTGTACAAGTATCCAGAAAGTATGAGGTCTGAGTCCAGAAGAGGATAAGGATCCGTGGCACAAGACGTTACAGATAATGCGTATTTGTACAGTTAGGTCGATCAAGAAACAACATTTGAAGTACTTGACATTGATAGTTGGGACCACTAATAGGAAACACTATTTGAAGTAACATTGATAGTTAGGACGACCAATAGGAATTGACCAATAGAATTAGACTCTTAGGATATTGGATGAATATCCTAACACATAGATGTCTAATGAAGTTTTGAAATGAAACTTCTATTTCACTGTTCAAGTATTTATTTAATAACGAAGATGAAAAAGTGAGCAGCGATGCTGACTGATTACAACAAAACGTATTGTAGACTGAAAATTTTGCCCGTTACGTCATGTCGTTTCGATCGCAAATTACTTATTCAGTTTTTTTCCATTCATATACACCTTATTCATTAGTATACATGCGTTTAACAATAGTTTCTGTAAAAGAAAGTTAGTCAGTGTGTTGTTACGGGTATGAGGGAGGATGTCACTTCCCGATTGCCCTCAGTGTGAAAATGTGTTTCTTGTGGAACCTAAAATGTAAATTGGATTAGCGTTGATCTAAGGTGAGGTGTGATATTTTTCAGGGTAGCATCGCTGCAGATGCTAATTGTTTGATTGAAATACCTTATTACTGTTACACCCGCTTCTACAGTTGTCAGTAGTACGACTTCGCCTTCAGACCTTGAGTTCCTGCTTTTAGTCTTACCGTCCTCCAATCGACTTGCCTGACATGGTCGGACCTACAGGAAAATATGTTCCAACCAATATAGCTCGGTTGAGTCATTACGATAGGCAAGCCTGACCACCACGTCAAGGCAGTAGATACGGTTGGGTCTGTAAAAAAAAATATATATTTTTGCTTATAATTTTCTCTAAAAATAGTTAGGATGATTGAAACGTTGGAGAAAAAAGTTTGGTTATTTGTCAGCAAGGTGTTAATGTAATCGTAACTGAATGGATACATCATTCTGTTTCCCATCCCCACCCACGATCACTGATTATTTCAATTTGGTCAATCATTTCCTAGATAGTAATACTTAACAAAACTGCTATAGATATAGAGCTTACTTCAGAGATTCAAAATAATTTCTATTATGTATGCGCTGTTGGTATGACATATAATTGGTTACTTAATGAATGAATACAGTTCATGACAGTTGGTTTCATCCTACCTTTTTAACAATGGATAATTGCATTTATTGTAAATTAGAGAAGGAATCTTCGTTGATTTATTATCTATAAGCCTCCTTATTAAACTGATTGTTTGGGTTTTGTAACATTACTGACATTATAGGCGTTATGCTTTTACTCAGAAATCAACTTACTTAACAAAATGAGTAATCAAAGATCTTTTGGGAAAAAGATTAGAACCCCTAACTCTAAGAGATAAAATCAACTTCCAGTGAATATGATTTCCAACTGTGAAAGGATGTCAGGTTCGTCATTAGGTATGCTTGAAACTATTACGGGTTCATCTTAGTCGATAAACGAGAACGAGACAGTGAACCAGCATTCAGGTAGACTACTCCGATCGGTTGACTAACGAAAAGTTTTGATATGGCGTAGAAAGTATATTCTACAAACACTCAGCAACAAGCACAATGCATTCAAGCACACAAATCTCGTTTATTTATACATCATAGAAATGTCCTTGGGACAGTCACAAAAATAGCACACTAAAATAACACAGCAGCCAATCACAACAACCAAGGATTTTCCTGGTTGGAAATGAAATCTCAAGATCAACTGATCAACCCATACTCGCAAACATGAAATCCAAGATTAAGGCATTTATCTAGCGAGTTCTAGGGATCTAACATCCCCAACAAAGGATTCACTAAAATCAGTAGATGTAGCGTTTCGTTGCGTTTTTCGAAAGCCATAGTATTACTTACTTACACACCCACATACATACATACAATTCACTAAGCACACATTCATTTTTATTGATTGTCACTACTACGTTCCAAATATTACAGCCAAAAAGGATTGTTGTAATAATTGTGTGTTTTTTGAGATTGATTAATATTACTGATGGTATCAGTGAATCTTATCTATGCTGATCATATCCACACACACGCATACACACACAAACACCCAATGACATTAATTGGTGTATTGATCCAATGAATAATGAAACATACGATTACTGCTACTCCGGCTACTACTATTAATCATAATACTGTCGATTCCATAAATGGAGTAGTTTAATTACCTATATCTACACTCCCCCCCCCTATATATTTACGTATATGGAATACACTTTTAGAGTGCGTGTTTCATATATATTCAGGTCAAATAGGCGTGTCTTCAAGAAATTTATATCTCTTTCTCTCTCCCTCTCTTTGACGTAATATTCTCTTTTTGATTGTATTCACTTTTTATTTCTCTTTGATTTGATGTGTTATTCTGAATGATAATTAAAAGATTTTGTTTTTCATCAAATTGATTATGACCTTGATAATGGTGATGATGATAATAATAATGGTTATAAATGATTCGAAAGTGATGTGGCCCCTCCCCTTTTATTATTATTATTATTATTGTTATTGTTGAGATGAAGATGATGATTTGAAAAGTGACATAAATAGTACTAATATTACTAGTAGTAGTCGTAGTCATAGTAGTAGTAGTAGAGTAGTGTGAGTAGTAGTAGTAGTAGTATCAGCAATATTAGTAGCAGTATTAGCAGTAGTAGTAGCAGGATTTGTCGGAGTAGTAGTAGTAGTAGTACTAGTAGTAGTAATAGCGTGAATAGTAGTTGTAGTAGTACTCGTAGTAGTAGTAGTGTGATGCGCGCTACTTATAAGTAGTATATGACGCGAGTGTCAACGTAATGTCTGGCAGTAGAAGATGGGGGAAGATGAAGAAAGGAAGAGTAGGAACACAAGGGAATTTGTATGAAACGCATGAATAGTGAAATGTCAGACAATGGATTGATGTTTTGCAAATTAACGGTTACGATATGGTTTTCCTATTTTACTGAGTAACTGTAATTTGCGATAAATACAATTCGGTTGCCTCACCTGTGTTCTCTCCTTCACTACACTACTACAGTATTAGCAGTTGTAGTAGTAGTATTACTAGTAGTAGTACAATAGTGTGAGTCAAGTCAAGTCAGTTGCAACGTAGAACTTCGTACGTATGTACATATGTTCACGTTGCCATACCACATGAGCATAGAGACGCAAATGTCAAATCAAATCCCATAGTGATAAAGATAGTAGAGGTATAAATGGTAATGAAGAAGACTAGGGTTTGAAGATATTATTCAAGAAATATAATTCAGTGAGATAAGGTTAAGAAAACAAAGCTAGAGGTGCTGACGGTTCCAGAAAATTAGGATTTGAGAGAACACAACGAACAATAGTGTGAGTATCAGTAGTAGTAGCAGCGGTAGCAGTAATAGCGTGAGTAGTAGTAGTAGAACACCCACCAGCTCCACCGCGGCCTCAAACTCCTCCAGGAAGCTCCACAAGCCTCTGTCCTTCAACTCCTTCGGCCACGGGAGCTCCTTCCTTCGAGCAGGCAGCGACACCAAGTGTAGGTAGTGAAGAAGAACACAGGTGAGGGCAACCGAATTGTATTAAACAGAAATTACAGAGTTACTCAGTAAAATCAGAAAACCATATCGTAAATCGTTCATTTGCAAAATAACAGTTCATCATATCGAACTGGACTGTTCCTGTTGCAAAACATCAACAATCCATTATCACTATTCATGCGTTTCATACAAATTCCATTGTGTTCCCACTCTTCCTTTCTTGATCTTCCTCCATATTATGCTGCCAGACATTACGTTTACACTCACGTCATATACTACTTATTAGTAGCTCGCACCACAGCAGTATTGGCAGTAGTAGTAGTAGTAGAATAGTGTGAGTAGTAGTTGTAGTATTAGCAGTGGTCATAGTAGTAGTATTAGCAGCAGTGGTAGTAGTAATAGTGATGGTGATGATGATTTAATGATTTTTTACTGTTTATCACTATCGTAATTTTACAATTCGTTTTTCTCTTCTTGATTAAAATTGCCTTTTTCTGTGATGTTACATATTCTTTGGTATTTCTTATTAGTGTCAGGTTTTTTTTATATGAAATAAACTATAATCTCTTCTTGTCTACTTTCATTTTCTCTCTCTCTCGTAAAGGTCCTACATTCGAGAATAAAACCGATTATACTACATCAGGTGGAATTCGTGAACGTCGTCATATACGTGAACGTAATCCACCTGAACGTGTACTGTCTAGTAAATCATTTTCCACTGTATCTGATCTTATTGAACGTCGTCTATCGTCAGATCAAAATTCTCCGTATAGTTCTACTACGAATAGTAATAATAGTAATAATCATACTACTGGACGATCCGAATATTCCCCTTCATCTTATACAAATACCAATAAATTCTTGAATACAACTAGTACAAATAGTACTACTATTGGCGGTGGTGGTGGCAGTGCTGGTCAAAATGAAAATGATGTAAAAGGCATCATTCAAAGGGTAATTGTTTCATTTCTTTAGTTTTTTTTTCACCAAAAAAAAAAAATAGTGATTTTTTTATGTTTTTTTAATGTGTAAGCCTATTTTACGTAATTTCTGTTGGCTTTTTACCCTAAAACCACTATTGATCAGTTCAATTATTTATAGTTAAGCAGTGTGCTGTTACGGGTATGAGAAACGGATGTCACTTCTCGGTTGCCCACTCTACGGAAGGATATTTCTTTTCTGCAGGAACATGAGCAGCAAGTTAGATTAGCGTTGGTCTTAGCGACCTTGGGGCGTGACCACACAGCCCAAGGGACAACTACTTGAATCTCGCCGCGCACGGCCTTTCTTTAGGAAGTTAGCGTGTTAGCTCCACCTTTCATCAAAAAGCGTTACTGCCACGGCGATAGAAATCCATGGGATGAGGTTAAGGTGTTGTGACATTGTTAGGATCGACCTTTTGTAACCCTTCCTTCCTTGTGAGAAGGCATCATCGCTTCAGATGCGGGTTGTCCGAGGGAAACACCTTACTGCTGTCACACCTCTCTGCAGTCAGCAGAGACCTTGAGTAGCTGCTTTTAGTCTCATCGTTCTGCAATCGACCTGCCTGGCATCGTAGAACCTAAAGTAACATATGTTTTAGCCAATCTAGCTCGGTTGTATCATCACTATAGGCAAGCGCGACTACCACGTCAAGGTAACAGCTACGGTCAGGTGTCAAGTTATTGCCTATAGGATTCTCAGAATTCACCATTAATCAAATTTAGTTACAAACTTTGATAAAATCTATATGATGTCTTCTAACTAACTTTATTGATTAACAACTATTTCACTTTTTCTAGTCTTCAACCATATTTGACCTAGATAGACTTGATAATAATAACACATGAAGACTATGCATTCTTTTTGTCTGAATAGGATTTATTTTCAGATTTCAATCGATCGGTCGATCGATCAATAAAACCAGGTACTCTGCTTGCTCTCATGAAAAAAAAAGATTGTTACTGAGAGACTTCAATGAATCGTTGACACTTATCACACTCCTCTGTATTGAAACTTCAATCAATTGAGGTAGTTGGGACATGTGTTGTGTATGCCTAACCACCGACTGACTGCCTCGTTGAGCTATGTTTTTCGATGTAGGAATAGGTTGGAAGAAAGGTATGGGCGGCCAGACCAAAACATGGCAGAAATCCATGAAGTCATTGACAAGTGGATGGAGTCATGTTGGTAGATGCGAACTACGTGGTTGCGGTCCGCGAGATGATAGTAACCAATGTTTAGAGACCTTGAATGGCATGGTTCCAAATCGTTTGCAATGGCGGAGGTGCATCCATTCTTTGAGTTCTCTATAATTTTAACCTTCTGAATTCCTCATCACCTTTATCTTTCTCTTTCTAACTTTATCTTACTGAGTTATACTTCTTGAATTAACATCTTCCAACCCTAATCTTCTCCATTACTGTTAATACTTCTACTATCTACTGTTACCACTATGATAACATTTAATAATAAAATATTCAGACATAATCTACTGTTTGCCAATTAGGTCAAACTAACAAAATTGTTAATGTTTCATGGTAGAGAAAATGTGTTGTATCCAGCATATTGCTTAGTAGTTTAGTTAATCTCTATTTCAATCAGCTATTCTATTCAATTTTGTTAGTTAGTTAGTTAGTTAGTTAGTAGTAGTGATAGAATGGTTATAATAATCATTTACATTTTTAGTATCTTCTCTATGCTTTCAAGATCTAGGTTTCTGATCGCTTTGAACAGTAATGCAGTAATATTTTTGAGGTGTGTTTATACCATTTAACATCTAAAATGTTATTACTGAACTGGTCTACATCAACACTTAAACTAATGATATGAAGTGAAGTAGTCGAATCCATCAGTCTTGATGGGTTAGCTTTTGTCTGTTTGTAATAATTCTGGTGTAAGCGGCATGACCACCTCTCAAACGAGGGGCGAATAAATCGCGCTTTAATCCACTATTATTTAAGTGATGACTGAACAAATAACATTTTAAAGCAGAGGGGTATCCGTAGCTTGCTAGCATTTGATTATGTGTTACGCCTGCATGTAAACATGTCATTTGAGAATGCTTGAAGTATTACGAGTTTACCTTAGGTCGGTAAACGAGAGTTAGGATCGAGGATCCGGCGACATGACATGCTACTCTAATCTGATTGTCCCAACCTTCCCATTGAGTAGGTGAAGAAGACTTGATATGAAGCAGAACCTTTATTCTACAAGCATCCAGAGAGTATGAGATCCGAGTCCAGAAGATAATCAAGATCTCGGACTAGGGGTCCGGGCCATGAGACGCTACAAATAATGCGTATTTATAGAGTTAGGTCGAATAGGAACCAACAATGAAGTCTGTGACATTGACAGTTAGGATGACCAATAGGAAGCAACATTTGAAGTGACCTTGATAGCTAGGACGACCATAATATTGACTAGTAGGAATTAACCAATAAGAATTGACCAGTTGGATTATACTCACAAGTAATTCTCTTAGGATATTGGATGAACATCCTAACATGAAACAAGGTTTGAAAACCAACAAGCGCTTAGTTGGAATCCATAAGGCCAAAGAAAACGAAAAGGACCAAAGAACATATTACGTTGAATATTGGAGAGAGATATGAGAAGAATGTAGAACAATTCGATAGAACTTGAAAATAAGGCCCATAGAAAGAGTAGGCTGCAAAATACTGGTCGGAGGCTTATGCTCTATTGGGGACAACGGGCGTAAATAAGTACGAACTGGCAATTTATAGAGCAATCTCACTGTGTGATTGTGAAAAAGAGAGTGATTACTTTCTAATCGTACATTGTGAGAAGCCAGTTAATACTCATTATAAACAACAGGTTGTTTATTGTGCGTCGTCAGTAGCAGTTAGTCAGTTTTGATCGATGAATTATTCAGTACAAGGATGCAATAGCTAAACAATCTCAGTACATGAGATGAATATCAACAAAGTTGAAATTTTATTAAGATAAATGAAATGAATCCACGTCACTGTAACAGGCTTACAACCACATTACGGCGCATATCCAATCAGTGATGAAGATTATTGAACGAATCCTATCTAAGTAGTCTACACCTAATAACAGTCAATGACCTCAGAGATTTGGCATGTACTGGTTTGAAACAATTCAACTTTGTACCAACCTTCCCCCTCGAAATGCAAAATGTTGCTTCAAGATTGGTTTGCATCGACACCTGAACTAGTGATAAGGAGTGAAGTAGTCGAGCGTATTGATCACTTCACTTATCTGGGGAGTCTCATCAGCGCTGATAGCCTGGTGACTGACGAAATCTCAGCACGGATACAGAAAGCTCGATTGGCTTTTGCCAACCTGCGTCACTTATGGCGTAGGCGTGATATCCGTTCGCTAACCAAAGGATGGGTGTACTGCGCAGCAGTTCGCTCCGTTCTCCTATATGGCTGTGAAACATGGCCGTTAAGAGTAGATGTTCGTAGGTTACTAGAATTCGATCATAGATGTTTAAGAAGCATTGCTCGTATATCGTGGGACAACCGAGTAAGCAATGCTGTCGTTAGGAAACGGGTGCTAGGTAAGAATGGCAGATGAATAGATGAAGCATTGAAACTTCATCAGTTGAGGTGGTTGGGACATGTGTTACGTATGCCCAATCAACGACTGCCTCGACGAGCTATGTTTTGTGGTGTAGGAGTAGGTTGGAAGAAAGCTAGGGGTGGCTAGACTGAAACATGGCATAAATCCATGAAGTCACTGACAATTGGACTGAGTCATGTTGGTAGATGTAGACTACCTGGTTGGTGTCCGCGAGACGAAAGTTACCAATGGTTAGAGATCTTGAACGACATGGCTCAAAATCGTTTTCAATGGCGCAGGTGCATCCATTCATTGTGCTCTCTCAAATCCTAATCTTCTGGATTCGTCAGCACATCTACCTTTGTCTTCTAACCTTATCTCACTGAATTATACTTTTTGAATAATATCTTCAAACCATAGTCTTCTTCATTACCATTAATACCTCTACTATCTTTATCACTATGGTATTTGATTTGACATTTGCATCTCTGTGCTAATGTGGTATGGCAACATGAACTTATGTACGAAGTTGCAACTGACTGACTGACTGTACCAACCTATTCGTATTTCAACCAACATCGTCAAATGTGCTCACTAGTGACTAACTTCATGTGCAAATTCACAGAGTTCTGATGAGAAGACGTGACTAGTGGAGTTCAGCCCTGTCGAGCTTATGCAGTAATTACCGAAGACAATACGTGAGGTTGCACAAAAACCTTAGATTGAGCAGAGTTGGACAATGTTGGCCAGCACAATGGTCAATGAAATGGATCCACGTCACTGTAATAGATATATACAACCAAATCATGCCACAGATTTCATAAATTAATTCAGCAGTCAGTTTCACAACTTTTCATTAACACAGTATGAAAATTCACATTCGACAAACACTCCCATATTATTACACAACTCAGTGTGTATATCAACCAGTCACTTTCTTTTCTGTTAAATTCTTTTCGTCTCCCATTTTCTGTTTCTTTGAAAAGAAACACATAATTACAGATTTTTCTAAAACAAAAAATTTACCAAACAAATCACTGATAAATAAAAAAAACCCCTCCTATATAAAGGGTGTTGTGAATAGAAAGAAGAAGGAAGATTGTTGTTGATTATTGATGAGTTCAATGAAATTAAACATAGAGATATATGTAAGAAAACTGAAAATATTCTCTTTGATGTGTTTGTTATTGAAAATAAAAAAATAGTACATTTATTATTATTATTATTATTATTATTATTATTATGCAAATTCTTTTGAATTCCTCATGACCTATGTTTCGTTTTCTGTTTTTAAAATTAAATTTCACTGACATTAAGTATAATACTTCTCGAATTATATCTTCCAAACCATTATCTTTTCGATTATCGTTAATTGTTACGCCTGCACGTAAACACATCAACTTGATATACTTGAACTATTACGAGTTTACCTAGTCGGGAAACGAGAGCGAGGATCGAGGATCCGGCGACACGACATGATACTCAAATTCGATTATCCCAACCCTCATATTTAGTAAAAAATAAGAAGACGTGATATGAAGTAGAACATGTATTCTACAATCATCCAGAAAGTACAAGGTCCGAATCCAGAAGAGAATCAAGATTCTGGACTAGGGATCTGGGACCGAGCCTTGGTCGTGGTCATAAAATGTTACAGATAATGCGTATTCATACATTTTGGTCGAATAGGAAACAACATCAAAGTCTGTGGCATTGACAGTTTAGGACGATCATAAGGAAAGAACATTTGAAATGACATTGACAGTCCAGATGACTAATAAGAGACAACATTGAAGTATTTGACTTTGACAGTTAAAACAACCATAATTTTGACTAATAGAAATCGACCAAGAGGATTTGACCAATAATAATTCTCTTAGGATATTGAATGAACATCCTAACACTAATACTGATACAACCTCTACTACTATACGATTTGAATTGACTATTCCATCGTTCTATATTGTTGCTGATTGTGTTGGGGACGTTAGATCCCCAGAAATCGCTTGATAAATGCCTTAATCTTGGATTTCATGTTTGTGAGTATGGGTTGATCAGTTGATCTTGAGATTTCATTTCCCACCAGGAAAATCTTTGATTGTGTGATTGGTTGCTGTGTATTTTAGTATGCCATTTTTGTGACTGTCCCAATGACGTTTCTATGATGAAGAAATAAACGAGATTTGTGTGCTTGCTGAGTGTTTGTAGAATATACTTTCTACGCTATATCAAGACTTTCTTTGGCCGTTTCGGATCAAGGTAGCCTACCTGGACACTGATTGATTGTCTCGTCCTTGTTTATCGACTAAGGTGAACCCGTAATAATTTTAATCATACTTAGTGACAAAGCTATCAGATTTACTAACTGACTAACTGGTATATGCGAAATCTGTCATTTACTTCGATACCAATCATCGTTTGTATTTCATCGTAAATTATATCCCCCATAGAATGACTAGAGGTTGTCATTGAATGTGATTATAGCTTTCTTTTTGTTAAAAATTAATCAGGACAGTCAGTTTAAACCGTGTATTTTCTGTTTAAGGTTATTTTTGATGAGTTTTTTCGTATAGTATGAAATAGCTGATCTCCTCTTTCACTCGAGGTAAGAATTGACATTAGCCTCAGTAACACTACAGCCGATATAGTAAGCACCTAATAGTTATAAAATAATTATTATTCTCAGTTCTATTTTCTATCCAACTACTAAACAACTTAGAACCCGGTAAACATGTTTATCCAGTTCACGTTATCACACTATATCAACTCACTGAGATGATACAAATTGATCTTCAGTATTGTTCGAAGTTGTGGTGTCTCAGTGTTATGCTTGCCACCCGTTGATATGCTTGAACTATTACGAGTTCACCTGAGTCCGTAAACGAGATCGAAGACAAATTATTCAGTGACATGATAGGCTACTCTAATCCGAGCATCCCAAGGCCCCACTAAGTGCAGGAAGAAGTCTTGATATAGCGTAGACAGTGTATTCTACAAGCACCCAGAAAATATGAGGTTTTACCAAGACCACAATTCGAGTTTATTTATACACCATAGAAGCGTCCTTGTGAGAGCCACAAAAAGTAGCGTACTAAAATAATATATCAATCAATAACAGTCAAGGATTTTCCGAGTGGGAAATATAATTTCAGGGTCAACCAAGTAGCCCATGCGTGAACCACGAAATCCGAAATTAGGACCTCTACCAAGTGAGTTCTGGGGATTTAATGTCCCCAACACTCAGTTTTCTTCACTTTTTGATTAGGTATATTTAAGGAGGAATCTTCTTGAGGTAACATATCTATTCTTCTACGGTGTGGGCGACCTGGTAGTAGTGACATCCACCCTAATACCCTTAACAGCACTCGAGACCGACTTACCCACAATCAAATCCTTCCATCATTTCCTAATCACTCCCATGTTTTCAGAACTTGAGGTAACTTGGGCAGAAACATGATTAGCAGTGGCCTTAGTTACCTGAAAGAATGATCACGTAGCTTATCGTATAACTGCTTGAGGCTATAAAGTCTTTTGTATAGCGTTCTTGATATGTTTTCTCGGCACTTATACGGTCATATCACCACTAGTGATTGGAATCTAAGCCGAGGTGGGTTATGATTTAGTGTCTACTCTTTCCAATCTTCTGCTTTATTTTTGAAAAGGCAGTATCTTTCCAAATGCTGAATGTTTGAAGGTAACACATTACTACCGTCTTACCATACACTTCAGCCTATATTATAACTTCGATGAAATCTTATAGTTAAGGACTACTATCGTTATAGTGTTATTATTATTAATTGTGTTCTATGTGACAGAATAAGCAGATTGTTCAGGTTGTTTTGCGTCTCGTGTGATCAAGGGGAGCGTAATGTCAAGAAAGTAATCCGATTGTCAATTAGTCCATTTATATTACCAATCTCTGAACTGATGACTTTCTGCTGACCTACCAATTGACATATTGTTACTGAATGATAAATTTGAAACATTAAAACATATGGATCCGAAGTATTTTGCATAGACAACTGTTAATGAATACTTGTATCTTCTGGATGACAGCTTTGCTAGTTTTCCAAGTTTCCGCCCCACATTCAGTAGAACTGTAGTGAACGAGAACACAGGTGGGGCAACCGGATTGTTTTTAACGAAAATTACAGAGTTACTCAGTAAATTAGGAAAACCATATCGTAAATCGTTCATTTGAAAAATATCAGTTCATCATATCGAACTGGACTATTCCTGTTGCAAAACATCAACAATCCATTGTCACTATTCATGCGTTTCATACAAATTCCATTGTTTTCTAACTCTTCCTTTCTCTTGATCTTCCCCCATCTTCTGCTGACACCAGACATTACGTTAACGCTCACGTCATATACTACTTATAAGTAGCTCACACCACACTACCATACACTTCAATCTATATTATAACTTCGGTGAAATCTATAGTTAAGAACTACTATCGTTATATTATTATTATTATTATTATTATTATTATTATTATTATTATTGGTGTTCTATGTGACAGAATAAGCAGATTGTTCAGGTTGTTTTGCGTCTCGTGTGATCAGGGGGCGTAATGGCAAGAAAGTAATCCAATTGTCAGTTAGCTTGTTTTTATTGCCAATCTCTGAACTGATGACTTTCTACTGACCTACCAATTGACACATTGTTACTGAATGATAAATTTGAAACATTAAAACATATGACACTGACTATACGTTAAACGAGAGTATGATAACAGTTTGAGAACTACTCCTCGTCCCATTATCTACTTGCTTACTTACTTACGCCTGTTACTCCCAATGGAGCATAGGCCTCCGAGTATAGCCTTTTCAAACCTACTCTATCCTGAGCTTCCCCGTTCCATATCTGTCCAATTTTTGTTCATTCTTCTCAAATCTTTCTCTATTTCTCGGCATAATGTGTTTCTTAGGCTTCCTCTTTTCCTTTTACCTTGAGGGTTCTAAGTGAGGGTTTGTCTTGTGACACAGTTGGATGCTTTCCTCAGTGGCGTGTCTTATCAACTTCCAGCTATCTTTCCTAATTTTTTCCCTCCACTGGAATCTGGTTCGTTCTCTCCCACAGTAAGTTGTTGCTGATAGTGTCTGACCAATGGATCCGAAGTGTTTTGCATCGACAACTGTTCATAAACACTTTTATCTTCTGGATGATGGCTTTGCTAGTTTTCCAAATTTCCGCCCCACATACAGTAGAACTATCTTGACATTTGTATTGAATATCGTGACTTTGGTGTTTATTGTTAGTTGTTTTGAGTTCTAGTTGTTCAGTATGTCTATCTCATTTTTTTCTCAACTAAAAAAAATACTTTATCTATCTATCTGTCTTCTTTTGCTTTCACTTTCCTTTTTACCCCGCAGCCTACAAGTCGATTTTTGCATCAATCATCACAACAATTAATGAATACAAGTAGTGGTAGTAGTAGTAGTAGTAATGCTCCAAACACTTCATCTACATATTCATGGAATCCTGGACAAATTACATCGAATAGTTCTAATGTTACTACTACTACTACTGGTGGTAGTAGTATAAATAGTGCTCGTGGTATTAGTACAATGAATCATCATAGTAATAATGATAATAATATTAATATGAATAGTAACGATTATTCATCATCAACTCCTACTCCCCGTGATCATGTTTCACAATGGCAAGATGTAAGTTTTGTGAACTATAGTATACTTGTATTGTTTGTCTGTTTGTTAGCCGGCTGCCCACACGGTGAAAGGGTGTTTCTTGAAGAACCTGTAAATGATGTTGGATTAGCATTGGTCTTAGCGACCTGAGAGCATGATCGTAGACCGCAAGGGATAACTACTTAAGGCCGGTCACACATGGCCTTTTTATAAGATGTTTTTGAGGTGTAAGCTCCGCTCTTTAAAATGTCTTACCGCTGGAGACCTTAAGTTACTGTTTTTAGTCTTATCGTTCTCCAATCGACCTGCCTAACATGGTAGGACCTAAAAGTCACCACGATAGGCAAGCTCGATTATCACATCAAAGTTACAGCTACGCTTAGGGTTTGAGATGTTAACCGGAAGTAGATAATATTTTGATCAATAATTATTTTCCTAAATTAATTATAACTGTACACATACTGAAATGTATGAGTAACAATGATAATTTAGCAAATACCTTCACTATTTAATTATCGATTTGGTCTCGTGTACTTTTATGGGTATGAGGGCGGATATTATTTTCCGGCTGCCCATACCGTGGAAGGGCTCTTCTGGTTGGCAGAAAGGTCATCGGCCTTCTTCATGAGACGTCATATTAACTCTGCTAAATGAAGATATTCTAACTCCTGGCGCAGAGTTTAAATGGTTTGAATTATTTTTGCTTGTTAGCGTTTTGTTAGCGAGTTAGTTTTCTACGGGATGAGTTCTACAATCCTCCTCATTTATCCGGGCATAGGACCAGCAGTAAGCCCGGAGGGTCTACAATCTGTGAATCAGAAGATCGGAGAGATATTTTCAGAGGAAATCACATATATTTTTGGTCAATTCATTATTGAAATGTAATTGATGTGTATATTAGACTGAAAGTTATATTTGTTTTGTGATGAATTCAATTGAGATACTATTTATCTTTTCAAATGAATCAGCATTTAAGAGAGAAGTGTGAGGAACTAAGTAAAATTGTAGAAAATGTACTATTTATTAGGATTGGTGCTCGGCCCCTGTTCGACCTGTTTGTTGATTCTACAGATTGCAACTGATCAGTTAATATTGATTGATATATGTACATTCTGAACAGATCGCTTTGACGCTACTATTTAGTTACGAGTTTTTATTTTGGAAAGTGTCAGTCAGTTATACCACATAGAAATTCATACGTACGTATATCAGTTCAGGTTGTTATACAATATTTGCACAGAGACGCCATTTTCACTACAAATCCCATAGTAGTAGAGGTAGTACAAGTATTATCAGTAATCTGAGAGATTAGGTTTCGATGATATTATTCATGAAGTAGAATCTAGTGGAATAAACTTAAAAAGAAGAAGATAGAGGTGATGAAGAATTCAGACTACAATTTGGGAGAACATAAATAGTGGATGCACCTGCGCCATTGCAAACGATTTGGAGCCATGTCATTCAGGGTCTCTAACCATTGGTGACTTTCGTCTCGTGGACCCCAACCAGGTAGCCTACATCTACCAACATGGCTCAGTTCACTTGTCAGTGACTTCATGCATTTTTGCCATGTTTTGGTTTGGCTGTCCTTAACTTTCATCCAACCTACTCCTACACCACAAAATATAGCTCGACGAGGCAGTCGGTGGTTGGGCATACGCAACACATGTTCCCAACTACCTCAACTGATGAAGTTTCACTACTTCTTCTGTTGACTTGCCATCCTTACCTAGTACCTGTTTCCTAACAACTGCATTGCTTACTCTGGTGCCCCAGGACACACGAGCAATGCTTCGGAGAGACCTTTGATCAAAAAACAGCAATCTACCAATATCTTCTACTCTGACGGGCCATGTTTCTCAGCCATATAGTAAGACGGAGCGAACTACTGCGCAGTACACTCGTCCTAAAGTTAACAGACGGATATCTCGCCAATCAAGCTTTCTGTATCCGTGCTGAGATTTCGTCAGTCACCCGGCTATCATCACTGATGAGACTGCCAAGATAAGTGAAGTTCAACTACTTACTTCACTCTCTATCACTAGTTCAGGTTCCGATACAAGTCAATCCTGAAGTAACATTTTGCATCCCGAACATACTTGCATTGTTGCTTAGGCTAGTCAGTAGACGACACTACACATCAATAGTAGATTACACATAGAAAACGATATGCACTCTCTGAATTCTACTGTAATTGATTACCATTATTGATGCTGTAATCTTAACCACTGCTTCAATTGCTTTGCATCAATTTTAAGCTGGTTCGCCGTAAAATGTATTTATTGATTAGTATTATTAGTAGTAGTATAAGTAGTAATAACAGTGATTTTTATGTGCTGCAAATCGAAGAGTTATTGGTGTTTGTTATAAATTACAAGTCAACTGTCATTTTTGCAATTTATTCACATTGTTATTGATTGCAACCATTTTTTACATTACGTCATCTTTTTGTGTACATGTTTCAAATGGATTGATTGATTGATTGGTTGATTCTAATTTTTGGCAAGTTATTTTTGTTTTATTACGCTTCTTTAGAGGCTACACTTATGTGTGACGTAATGTTGTTGTACTAGTATTTATGCATATCTATGTATATATAAATAGATGCACACTCACACATACACAAATGATATTCATGATTATTTGCACCTATGAACCTACTTACTACTCTACTCATGACCACCCTGTCATCACCATTAGCACATAAAGCTAACTGATTATTGCGTAGGTTATTGATGTGTAAACTGTTAGTCTGTCACTGATAATAATAATAGTAATAATAATGTGTAGTTGAATTCTGCCTTCTGTTTTTTTCTTGTGGAATAATTAAAACTAATTGGCTTTGTCTGTTTATGTACAAAATTAAATTGTGCGATACATCTTTTGTAAACTATGATAATGTTTATGATGATGTCCGGGGTGTAAACAGTAACTACCAAAGATAAAAAATGGGTCAGGTTGCACAAAATACCTAGATTGATCAGACTTAGATATTACCACTGTTGGATGAGACGGCCCCAGTGGTCTAAAGGTTAAGCGTTCGCGTGCAAGACCGAATGTCCTAGGTTCGAATCCTGCGAGTGGCGAGAGTTGTGGATACGCACTGCCACTGATGAATCGCATACCAGGACCGAACGACCGTCATCGAGTGCTTCCAGGTGCCTAATGGTGATCTAACAATGATTGATTGATGATTTCAATGTGTAAAATAGTTTCATGTTGATATAAACCATATCTCATGTATCCCTAGGTACGTACTATAGTAAGCCAAACAAAAGCAGCCATTAACTTTAGGTCGTTTAATGTCAAGCCGAAATATTCTAAAAGATAGATGAATATCGTTGGTCGAAAAAATTTTCACTCACATCAACTATTGACTATGACTCTGTCAATTGATTAAATCATCAGTGTAAATCTGTCCACTCATAGTTGGAGTTGAAAGTAGACTTTTTTCGTATCCTCAAAATGCTTCAGACAATACAAGTTGTGAATGGTTTTCCCGTTATTTTAATTGTTTGACTAAATCCTTTAATGCTCATCACTTACATATATATAAACAACAATTGAGTTGCCTGCCTCCATTTCCACTGATTTTGAACTGTTCAAATACCAATTACAGCTGTTGGCCACTATTCGTAGGTTACTGCTTTTCGATCATGGGTATCTTCAAAGCATTGCTCGTATATCCTAGGCCAATCGAGTAAGCATTGTAGTTGTTTGGTAACGGGTACTAGGTAAGAATAGCAGATCAATAGATGAAGTATTGAGACTTCATCAGTTGAGGTAGTTTGAACATGTATCACGAATGCCCGCCGACCAGCTATGCTTTGTGGTGTAGGAGTAGATTGGAAAAAGATAGGGGCGGCCAAATCAAAACATGGCACAAATTCATGAAGTCATTGACAAGTGAACTGAGCCATGTTAGTAGGTGTAAACTACCTGATTGGAGTCTTCGAGATGACAGTAACCGACGAAGTTGTTTACAACAGTGCAGGTACATCCATTCTTTGTGTTCTCTCAAATCATAATCTGCTGAATTCTTCATCACCTCTATCCTTCTCTTTTTAAGTTTATTGCACTGGATTATACTTCTTGAATAATGTCTTCGAACCCTAATCTTCTCCATTGCTGCTATGACTTCTACCATCTCTACTACTATGGGACGTGAATTGACAGTCTGATCTCTGTGTGCTAATGTGATATAGCAAACTTAGGACCTTTGGTGTTGTGCACAAATGCTTAACTTCTATATACCACATGAGTCAGTATCAAACTTGAGACAATACACACTATTGTCTTCAGTGTGTAACTAACTGCTTCTCCTGATGACAGCTTCCTACGAGAACTTCAGTAATTCTTTCATGAAGCACATGATAAGTCAGTCAGTCAGTCAGTCAGATGCAACGTAGAACTTCGTGCGTACGAAGTACATCAGTTCATATCGCCATACCACATCAGCACAGAGATGTAATTGTTTTTATACATGTTCATCGCACATTACAATCAAATATTATATGCATACATATACATTTATATATTATTCCCCCATGTTTACACTCCATCAATCATGATATTCACAATTCTTTTCTGATTGTATCATCCTACCTATTGTGTCTCTCTTTCTTTAGTCAAAAGATTATAAACGTCTTTATGAACGTGAGAAAGAAGAACGTGAACGTTTACAACGTGAACTGGATCGATGCAATCGTCAAATAAGTCAATTACGCCAAGAACATCAACATCAACAACAACAACAACTAAGAACATCCAATGATTTTAGTCATTTGAATTCTACTGATACAATGAATAACTACAATTATAATAGTAGTAGTACTAATAGTGCACAGATGTCAGATACTGTAAGTGTAATTCCATTGTTCATTGGATTTGTTTGTTTGTTTAAATGAATGTTATTTATTCACATCTAGTTAAACATATGCAGATAATTGGTTGCATAGTGGAAGCTAAGTAAACCCATCCTCAAGTTGTGTTAGGATATTCATTATTACCCTTGAGAGATGTTCAATGATGGTGGTCCAGTTTTAACAGTTAGACTGATTGAGATCTTAGGTAGAATTTGGGAACTGGGCACAATCCCATCCGATTGGTCTCAATCACTGATGATTGTCCCAATCACAGGGGAATAAGTCTAACTAATATAATTGGTAAATTGTTAAGCCTCGATTATACTTAGATGCCATACTAGTGCTCGTGAAAAGCAGACTAGAGAAAACCAGTCTGGTTTTCGACCTGAACGTGGTTGTATAGACTAAATCTTCACACTACAACAGGTCCTGGAACACAGACATACATTTAGACGTCTGACAATAGTTGTGTTCCTGGACGTAAAAGCGGCATTTGATTCTGTGGATCATGAGGTTGTGTGGCAGTGTTTGTCATTGAAAGGTGTACCAAAGAAGTACACTAACCTTATACAAGCTTTTTACTATAACACCACTGGTCGAGTGAGAGCTTATGGCGAACTGTCATCTATCTGTCTGTCTGTCTAGGATATTCATCCAATATCCTAGGAGAATTATTCTGTTGGTCATTTCTTATTGGTCGTCCTAACTATCAATGTCACATACTTCAAATGTCGTTTCCTATTCGACCTAATTGTATAAATACGCATTGTCCGTAACATTTTATGAGCCAGACCCGGATCCTTTAGTCCGGGATCCTGATTCTCTTCTGGACTCGAACCTCGTACTTTCTGGATGCTTGTAGCATACACGTTCTACTTCATATCAAGTCTTCTTCTTTTACTCAATGAGGGTCGGGACACTCGGATTAGAATAGCATTATCGTGTCGCCGGATCCTCGCTCTAGTTTTCCGACTGACGTAAACTCGTAATAGTTCAAGCATTCTCAAATGACGTGTTTACATGCATACAAAGCAAAAGCCGGAAGAAAAATAAAAAACGTTTATTCCATCCAGTAAGAGTTGAAACATACAGAAAAAAAGTGTACTTCTAGTTTTTCATCATAGAAAGTGAAAATATCAATAAAATCATCGAATGTGCAATGAGTTATGTTACGTCATCTCATGACACATCGATATTGTAGAAATTCTATCGACCTGGTATTGAATGGAAGCGCTTCAGTTTGTTGGGAGTCTCTGAAGGCTTTTGTGAGCTATCCCACTTAGGTTTAATCCATAGTCTCTGATGACCCAAAGTAGGCCCTCACGTCATTCGTTCCATTAGGATTTTTGAGTTCAACTACGCCATTGTTTTGAAGTCAGTGTTTTCCAACTCCTTTAAGTGGCTCCTTCCTGTACCTACCTACCTACCTACCATTCAACGTGGTTTTAAGCCCTAACCGAACACTTGCTTTCCATCCTGCCAACTTCGTGAACAAGGCATTGAGTAAGACTTACATGTCAGTACTTATACGCGCATGGACATGTGAGAGCCGTACCAAGCTATTCAGGAGTTAAATCAATTACTTATTTTCTGACCATTCATTCATTCATTCTTGAAGATTCATTGGTTAGCGTTGACAAGTTATTCATAGTAGGGCACCAGTTGGATTGATGTGTTTTATTTCTCCCGGAAATAACATGTTAAGCTATTTCCTTAGATATATTATATATTATCTTTACCTTATTTATTTGCAATTGGTTGAGTTTAGTTAATGCTTAGAACTATAGAGAAGAGAGAATTCTGTAAAGAAAAATTATTCAGTTCATCGAATATTCTTCACTCACACGTTGAATGAGTATTCGCATTACGGGGGTTGTGAAGATTGTTAAAATTACACATTTTTGAAACCATGAATCAATCAAGCTTAGACCAACACTATTAGAAACCTGGAAGCACTGTTTAGACGGCCGTTTCGTCCTGGTACGGGACTCATCAGTACGCAGTGCGCATCCACGACTCCTGCACCCCTCAGGATTCGAACCCAGGACCTTCGGTATTGTGCGCGAACGCCTAACCATCGGACCACTGAGCCGATATCTAACGGTGTTAATGTCTAACTTGATCAATCCACCCCATACATAGTCTTCGGTAGTTACTACTGTCTAAACCCGAACAGGTTGAACTTCACTAGTCATGTCTTCCCACTAGTACTCGGAGAAGATTCTTCACGAAGCTAGTCACTAGTGAGCACAGGTAATTTACATTACGGGGTTAAGAAGATTGTTAAGTTACATATTTTGCTGAGGAGTCCCATACCAGGACGAAACGGCCGGCTGTCAGTGCTTCCAGGTTTCTAATGGTGGTCTAACACTGCTGATCGATTCATGGTTTCAAGAATAAGTATTCACCATTGAAAATTGAAAATTGAACGAGAAAAAAGCAAACAAACAAAACACAGAAGCGCTTAATTTATTCAAATCAAAAATCAAAAATAGACTTCTTCTATCTTATTGTTAAAGTAACTAGGGTAACTAAGCACACAAGTACACAACACACACACACACAAACAACAAGGGAATTATCATTTACCAAAAAAAAAATCAAAACAACAGTATATTCGTTCTGTCCAATTTTTCCAAAAGTTATTTATCATTGATTTTTAGAAAATGTCTCTCTCTCCCTCTCTCTTTCTCTGTCTCTATAACGTGCATTATAGTTTCTAGTTAGTGAATAAAAAAAGTAGCAACTTCACACATTTCTTTCAATATCACATAAATTCATTTTAAATGATGTGTGTTTAGTTAGTTTGTTTTAATTTTTTACTCTCAAGATTTATTGATTATGTTGTGTGTACTTGTGTGAACAACGTATTCAAGATATATTTTATCTAATCAAGATAGAAAACCTGAGATTGTCTGTCATATGGTCAGAAATTTTTCTTTAGAAAAAAAAACTCTTGTATATTATACCTCGAAATGTTTATCTGTCTGTCTTATTTAGTAGTAGTTGTTGTATAAGGTTGTGGAGATTGTTGAGTTTCATTGAAACAAACAGTACAACACTTCCAAGACCTTGCAAGCACGAATCAAACTTAGGACCTTCTGTGTTGTGCACAAATGCTTAACTTCTATATACCACATGAATCAGCATCAAACTTGAAACAATGCACACTATTGTCTTCAGTGTGTGCAACTAACTGCTTCTCCTGATGACAGCTTCCTACCAGAACTTCAGTAATTCTCTCATGAAGCACATGATAAGTCAGTCAGTCAGTCAGATGCAACGTAGAACTTCGTACGTAAGTACATCAGTTCATGTTGCCATGCCACATATTAGCACAGAGGTGTAATTGTCAATTCAAATCCAATAGTAGAAGAGGTAGTCAAGGAATTAGAAATAATCGGAGAGGTTAGCATTAGAAGATATTATTCAAGAAGTATGATTCAGTGAGATAAGTTTAGAAAGTCAAAACTAGAGGTGTTGAAGAATCCAGAAGATTAGGATTTGAGAGAACATAAAGAATAAATGCACCGGCGCCATTGCGAACGGTTTTGAACCATCGATTATTATCATCTCGCGGACCCCAACTAGGTAGTCGACAATTACCGACATGATAAATATTTTTATAAATAAGGTTGGGCAGGAAACTTCGACTGGTTGACTCCAATAAAAATATATGCACAAACTTATCTATCTATAAATTGGCTTAGACCTTTAACTCATGGAGTATATCTGTTTCTTTAGAAAGTTTAACGAAATCTTGACCACCATCATGTATGTGCCCTTCAACATCTCTCACTTGCTATTTGCCCTTTTTTAAGCTGATATTATTTAAACTGTTTAGAATATCAGATCAAAATGATAACTGAATGCTTCAGTGTCAGATATAGGATGTAGATGTCATTTGATTTGATCTATGATGATGTTGGGCACGTTACATCCCCAGAATTCACTCGAAAAAGGTCCTAATTTTGGATTTTCATGTTTTCGCTTATGAACTGCCCAGTTGACTGTGAGATTACATTTCCTACGCGGAAAATCCTTGACAGTCGTTGGTTGATGAATTATTTTAGTATGCTATTTTTTCTGGCTCTCCCAAGGACATTTCTATCATGTTGTATCAGTAAACTCGATTTGTGTGTGCTTGTCAATCTCCTGTTTTCTGGATGCTTGTAGAATACATTCCTTACGTTTGTCAAGACTTCTTCCTCTACTCAGTAGGGGCCTTGGGAGACCCGGATTAGAATAGCATATCGTATCACTGGATCATTTGTCTTTTCTCTCGTTTACCGACTCAAAGGTGAACTCGTAATAGTAAAGTTTCAAGCATATTCAATTGACGAGAATAACACTGCGTACGTACGTACATCAGTTCAGGTTGCCATGCCCCATTAGCACAAACACACAACTGTCAGTTCAAATCCAAGAGTGATAGCAATCATAGAAGTATTAGCAGTAATGGAGAAGATTAGTGAGCGAAGATATGATTTGAGAAGAATAATTCAGTAAGATAAATTTAAAAAGGAGAAAGATAGAGATGATGAGGAATTCAGAAGCTTAGAATTTCATAGAACACAAAGAGTGGATGCATCTGCGCCATTGCAAACGATGTTGAGCCATGTCGTTCAAGGTCTCTTAACCATCGATGACTTTCGTCTCGCGGACCCCAACCATCTACCAACATGACTCAGTCCACTTTTCAGTGACTTCATGGATTTGTGCCATGTTTTGGTCTGGCCGCCCTTCCAACCTATTCCTACACTACAAAACATAGCTCGTCGAGGCAGTCGGTGGTTAGGCATACGTAACACACATGTCCCAACCACCTCAACTGATGAAATTCCACTACTTCATCTATTTATCCATAACATTATTCACTTGGTTTAAATTAATATTCTGATACAGTCTCATGATCATCATAGTAAAAAAATGCATCCATAATTCAACCTATTCCTTTCATCCTTATTCATTTAAATTGATTATGTTACATTTTA